TAAAAATATGCTCCAGTCATTTCATCAAATCTATGTCAAATCCAATAAGAGATGAGAGACAAGTTTTTCACTAAATTAAGTATGAACCAAATCATTCACTAAATTCTCAACACACACTTTTTTTAATCAACTTTGATGAAATTTAAAAAGAAATTGCAGGGAAAGAAACAGGGAAAGAAACATACAAAATAGAAAAAAACCAAAAATTAACAAAGTGAAATAGGGGATAACAACTAAATAAATAAATTGCACCAACACCCATTTATAAAATTGAATAGAAAAATATAAAAACATACCAAATAGAAAATAGAAGCCCAAGAAATCTCTCTGTACAAACCCAACATTTTCTATAAAATGTGATTATGAATCCATCTGGAACCTAGGGTCTTGTAACCCATCTCCACATCATCAAAGGGCGTTTACAACCAGTCACATATCCGTAGGGACGCTTTCAAAAGAGACTCTGCCTAGCATCCATCAAAACAAATGCAGTTCCATGAAAAGCATGTTTTTTTAGAACTTTTTAGTGAAGATGTTGATACTGATTTAACTGCACAGCAGCTTGGAGACGTGGGGAGTAACTGATTCAGAACTTTTCAGTGAAATCAAAACAAATGCAAAATGCAATGAAATATTCAAAACTTTTCAGTGAAGATATTGTAACTGCAATAAGGAGACGTGGAGAGTGGGAAGCGGAAAAGTGAAATTGATTGTTTTAATTTATTATTTTACCCCTAATTAAAATTGATGTAAGTGTAAAAAGTTAAGGTCCTTTTAGGGGAAATTGAGAAAAGTTTCTGAGGAGTGGCTTCATGACACCAAAATTGTTGTTCCCTTTTAATAATAGAATATCAACAAAGAGTAAATATTTTTAACAAAGAGTTAGCATTTTAGAGAAGCAATATCAACATCACAAAGTTAATGACATATTATTGGGAATTACATATTAATGGACAAGTGCCATAACCTAGCCTTTAAGACAACAGAAAATGTAATATAAATTAGTTTGTCATTTTAATTTTTTTTTCTTACAAACCAATGTATCATGCAAGAAAAATGGCGACTTGAGGTTTTCCAGGTCTCAAATTCTTGCCGCAAGTAAGCTTGCCTTAGTTTACGTATAAATCCTTAACTTTTTTAGCTTCATAGTCTTCCCATTTCACAGAGTTTAAAACAACCAAACGAATCAAAACAAATACTGAATTAATTTGTAATTATAGTTGTCAAATTGGGTATTGGATTTTGTATCAATTCATTGTTTTTAGTATCCTGTAGGCTGTAGGAGATACAAAAGATGTAATCTTTTTTATGAAAAAGTCAAGTACTGAATATAATTGTGTTCAATCTAACATTTAAAATTAGGCCATCAACTAATATGTACACTTGAATAATAATGTGTTGCTCTATTATGTATGGCCATAAATTAGGCCATTTGACTTCGCTCACTACATGAATATAGTTGAAGATTTTTGCTTTCTTATGAATTCTGATGTCATGGTTGGAAAGAGATTAAAGGTCAAATAGGGAATCTACCTCCACTCAAGCTTTACTTCCTTCAGGAAATGTAATCAGGCGTGTGTTTGAATCATAAACCATTTCAGTTCCACAGCTGAGGAAAATGCCATAAATGAAATTTAAAATTACTAAAAAATGAAGTTTATTTTTTTCAATAAATGTCACCAAGAACATGATTACAGGAATGCAAATGAAGTATTATGAGGTTCATAGATAATATACATAACCACAAACTTACTTTGAAACTAATGAGAAAGAAAGGAAAAATAGGGGGAAATGTATCAAACCCATTTACAACATTAAACCCATAAAACTCTAGTAACGAAACCACTTCAAACAAACCCATTTCAGAAATGAAGACAAAATTAAATTGAATGGGTAGAATAAACAACCCTAGAGCAAGAGTTCACAGTTGGGGAAATAGAAAAAGGGGTAGAGAGAGAGAGAGAGAGAGAGAGAGAGATACCGAGAGCGAGACAGAGAGCGACAGAGCGACAGAGCGAAAGGGAGTGAGAGAGCAAACCTATTAGCGGCGGTGGCGGTGCTGATTTGCGACGTACGCAGACCGACGGTGCTGAGGATGCGCAGTCGTGAGGTTTGATCGCCATGAGGTTTGTTGATTTGCGGTGGTGAGGTTTGCTAAGAGAGAGGCTCTATGGCTGCGGTGTATACACAGACGGTAAAAGTGTGAGACACAGGCGCGAATTTGAAATTATACCCTTTATAAAATTTTGAGCTTCCATGATTAAATGATTTCTTTGTCAGGAGAAAATAATTTCATGCCATTTGGTGACTAAATTTTATTTTGGTCGCTAAAAAAGGTGCGAAAAATCTGACTAATAAATATTATTTTAGCCTAAATTATATACTATTGCCGACTAAATTTGTTTTAGTCGCTAAAAGTAGTAATTTGTCGACTAAATATTTTGCTCGCCAATTAGATTTATAAATCGAAAGTTTCGCTCCAAATATATTAATTCTTTGACGACTAAAATATTTTTTAGTCGCTAAAAATAAATTTTTGGAGACCAAAACCCAAAGATAAAAAATACATTTTTAGTTTTTATTCAACGACAAAAAAATTTTAGCAGTCAAAACTAGCTATATAGCGACTAAAACATTTTTTAGTCACTAAAAATAATTTTTGGCAACCAAATTTTTGGTCACCAAAAGTCTGAAAGTAAATTTTTATTTTTCATTCAGCAACTAAAAAATTTTAGTAGCCAAAACTATCTATACAGCGACTAAAACATTTTTTAGTCGCCAATTGTAGCATTTTTAGCGACTAAAATTTTTTTGTCACCAATAATCAATATTTCCCGACTAAAAAAAATTGCTAGCTAAATATTTGACTTTTGCCGACTAGTATTATTTTTAGTTGCCAATTCCATTACTTTTGGTGACTAAATTTTTTTTAGTCACCAAAAGTGCATTTTGTTGTAGTGTCATAACGGTCAAGTAATAAATATAACAATTAGTTAAACTATTTTCCCGACTAAAAAAAAATTGCTAGCTAAATATTTGACTTTTGCCGACTAGTATTATTTTTAGTTGCCAATTCCATTACTTTTGGTGACTAAATTTTTTTTAGTCACCAAAAGTGCATTTTGTTGTAGTGTCATAACGGTCAAGTAATAAATATAACAATTAGTTAAACTATTTTGATTGAATTAAAATTCCCTATAGGCAAATGTGGAATACTAAATAGTAAATGTATTTAGAGAATTATTCAACCAAAACCTTTTTCCAGAAAATTAATCTATCCAAAATTAGTTTTGTTGTACAGCAAAACTAAATGCATAACCTTTATCCTCTTTTTTTTTTTTTTTTTTTTTTTTTGAACTCAACCTTTATCCGCCTGATAACTAAAACTGTTATATATAGATTTCTTATTCTAAAATGCCACCTTTTTCCAGAAAATTAATCTATCCAAAATTAGTTTTTCTATACAGCTAAACAAAATGCATAACCTTTATCCTCCTAATAACTAAAACTATTATATATAGATTTCTTATTCTAAAATGCCATTCAAGTATATTTAAGCATACATTACGTATTTTCTAATCACTCACATATAATGCTAATCAAATGTTACTCGAGGATATGCTAGCAAATGATAGAATATGCATTTTAGTGCCAACTTCGTTCGGATGATCTTGTTTATCGTGATGCCTTTTGCACTTGCCTTCCTTTATTGATGTAATTGTTCTTGTACTTTGTACTTCGCTTTTTCGTCAATATCGTCTTCTTTTTCTTTTTTTTTTGCTGATAAATATATATATATATATATAGATTTCATATTATAAAATGCCATTCAAGTATATTTAAGCATACATTACATATTTTCTAATCACTCACATAGAATGCTTATCAAATGTATTGCTATTACATCAAGTATATGACTAATATAACAAATGAAAACCAAAACACACTACAACAAATTACACTTTTGGCAATTAAATTTTTAATCGCTAAAAGTCATTTTTTAGTTGTCAAAGATTTTTGCCGACTAAAATTCTTGGTCACCCGTTTGGTCGTTGACTAATTGTCAGCAAAAGAATTGGCGACTAAAATTTAGTCGCCCAAAAGAAAATATTTAGTCACCAAAAAAAAAAATTTTGCCATCTTTAGTTTTTTAGCTACCAATTTTTTAGTCGCTAAAAACGTGGAACTCCTATTTGGCTACAAGTTTTTTAGTCACTAAAAACTTTCATTTTTTTTGGCTACTAACTGTTTAGTCGCCAATAAGTTCCCTTTTTATTTTTTGGCTACTAAATGTTTAGTCGCCAAAAGCTCTATTTGAATATTTTTCATTAATTTCTAAATTATATGAATTCCATTATCAATGCACCCTGTAACCTGTACATATGCATAATAATACATCTATTAATTATAATCTAAATCCATTACCAATAATACCCATTTCATTATCAACTATCCAAAAACTTTAACTTGTAACATCATATTCCAAATGTCATATAAATCCATACCAACCAAGTATAATCCATCTAAATTAAATATTACATACAAAAATACTGGATTTCCAATACAGAGGATTGTACAAAATTAAATGTCTTCCATATACAGAACAAATGCTCTTCATACACAAAAATAAATATCCACAATAGCCCACGCAAAAACAATCTATAAAAAAATAAAAATAAAATAACCATTATCACTGATTCAATAAAATTGACATTTCAAATTATAACATTTATAAAAATAATAATTCTAATATATTATACTCTGCAAATTATAAAAATTATAAAATTAATAATTCTAACTTTCAACCTATTAATACAAATTTTCTACTTGTTCAAATGCAAAAACTCCACTTCCTTACATGCCTACCTATTCCTAAAATCATGAACAAAAATGGTTTTTAAATAGATGTAGGTGATGCTCCATGCTTCATTGCAAAATCCAAACAAACAACAATACTTTTAGTTCAATCTCATGTTTGTCGGGATAAAAACACACACCAGTGGATGCTCCTACACACTTAATTACTCTATAAAAGATTCACCCTAGTAGATATCAGCACATATCAACAATCAATCTAATCTATTAATAGTTCCTCTCCCTCTTCCAAAATCCTATGAGCTTGTTTTCTAAATTTTTGATTTGATTATAAGAACAACTGATGGCATTCATGAAGCACCATCAGCAATGCAATATTTTCTGAAGGGGTTTCAAAACCTCTTCACTGCAACAAGGATTGCCATGCCCAATTTTAGCCACAGGTTCAATCACTGTAAAGGAGACATTTTCAACATGGTAAAGGAGACATTCCCCAACCACAAAACTGCAGTGAGCATTTTAAATACACTTTCTTGATCCTCTTTGCTAACATGAACAATATCCACAGCTTCCTGAAGAGTGAAAAAAGACACAATGACGTTCATATATAAATCAACCCCTATTTCTAAACTTGAAGGGGAAAGGGAAAAATAAGACTCCAAAAGGGAAAAATACCATTACGATGCGAAACTATTCGGCATCATCAACCCCATAAATTGAATAGCAATTGCTTTGCCTCAAGTATTTATATTCATTTTCACTTTTCAAATTCAACTTCTCGGTGTTACAAAACAACAAATTGTAAAAGAATAAATTGCATCATTCCCTTTCTTTAAGCTAATTGTATTCTTAAACCAATCTCCAGAACCCATTACTATTAAATTGCAGAATTTAACTTAATAAACCCTTGCAGGAAATTCAATAAGAGTAACAGTAAGGTACAATTCTTTCTTCTAATTGAATTATTTGTCAAACTAGAGTTTAATTTCTTCTTTTTTTGTCATTCAAAGGAAGAACCAAGCTAACATTGCAATTAACTTTTGATTGTTTATTTTCATACACATCCAAAAAATAAATAAATGGGCAATGAGGCTTGCACAATACTATCCTTTTCCTTTGAAGCAGAGCAGCATCTTTGGACACACAACTTACTAGGTTATTAACAAAAACAAAAACAAAAAAACAAAAAAAAAATTGAAAAACAATTTTATACTAGGGTTGAAGTGCAAAAGCCACACACACCACAAGAACAAGGGTTGAGAAGAAAAAAAAAAGAAAGAGGTAGAAATAACCTCAACAGAGAATTCTAAGCAAGGAATTCATGCCAGGCAAATAAGGTAATCAACTTCTTTTCCCAATTGTACAAGAGAGAGTGGAGAAAGGTAAGACAGGGTCTGGAACTTCTTCAATTCAAGTGGAGGCCACACCTGCACTTAATTACAACCAATTTCCTGCTCAAAACACTTTCTCCTCAATCTAATCAACTATATATATTACAATTAAAAATTGAATCATATCTGATATGATACAGGGAGTATTTAGAAAGAAAGAAAAAAAAAAACGTGTTTGAGAGTCGGAATTATCATATGGATCTGAAACACTACGGCTGTGTTTGGAGTATCAATTTAAGTAGAGATTTAGAAAGGGCAAATAAAAAAGGGGTATGAAATATCAGAAATCAAAATCATGTCAGATTCAAAAATATCTAGATTGAACTTTACAAACCCACAAACATATCCAGATTCAAGCAATCAGAAAGAAGAGGAGAGAGACAAAAGTTGTAATTTACCTTGCAAGAGGAGAGAGACGAAAGAGAAGGGTGAGAGGAGAGAAAAGCTGATCGGTGTTGTCTTCGAGAGAGGATGACGGCAAGACGAGAGGTGGTCAGTGGCGTTGCGACGGCGGTGATCAGTAAATGATTCCTTTTGGCTCTCCTTTATCTTCTCTTTCTATTCATAGATTCAAATGCTTGCACCCAAAAAGTTTTCACAGAGAGAGAGAGAGAGAAAAGGGAAGGGGAAGAAAAAAAAGGAAGAGGAAGAAGAAATACCAACTATCCACGATGCGCGATGTGGTACTGTCGCTGGTCGGAGATGGGTGCTCGTGTGCGACGGTGGCTGGTCGAAGATGGGTGCTCTTTGCGACAGTGGCAGGCAACTCTCTATGGAATGAAAGAAAGAGAGATGAGAGAGGATGAGAGAGTGAGAGCGTGAGATATTTTGTAGAGATGGTTATTGGCGACTAAAATTTTTTAGTCACTGAAAATATTTTATAAACCCCTACAAAATATTGGAAATGTTTTTGGCCAAAAATTTTAGTTCTTTGGAGACTAAAATTCTTTTTTGTCGCTGAAGATAAAGGTAAAATATAATTTTTTTATTTTCCATTCAGCAACTAAATGGTTTTAGTAACCAAAACTCAAAATACGGTGACTAAAATGTTTTTGGATAAATTATGCAAATAGTCCCTGTAACTTATATGATGTGTCAATTTGGTTCCTGTAGTTTAAATTTGCTCAATTTTGCCTCTCAATTTAACGGATTGTGTCATTTTAGTCCAATAAATAACGGTTGTTAAGTTAATTTAACGGAAGGTCAAACAATGTGTCAATTTGGTCCTTGTACTTTATACGATGTGTCAATTTGGTCCATGTAGTTTCAATTGTTTTGATTTTGATAAGGACTAAATTGACACATTGTGAAAAATACAGAAATCAAATTGACACATTGTTTGACTTTTCGTTAAATTAACTTAATAACCGTTATTTATTGGACTAAAATGACACAATCCGTTAAATTAATGGGCAAAATCGAGCAAATTGAAACTATAGGGACCAAATTGACACATCGTGTAAACTACATGGACTATTTACATAATTTTTTCAATTTTTTTTTGTCGCTAAAAATAAACTTTTGGTGACCAAAATTTTGGTCGCCAAAGGAAAAAAAATAAATTTTATTTTTCATTCGGCGTCTAAATGGTTTTAGTAGCCAAACCTCAATACACAGCGACTAAATTTTTTTTTTAGTCCCAATTGTGGCATTTTTAGCGACTAAATTTTTTTTAGTCACCAATAACCAATATACCCCAACTAAAAAATATTAGTAGCTAAATATTTTACTTTTGCTGACTAAAAAAATTTGAAAAAATTACCCATAGGTCCTACTTTTGAGACTTATTACCCATTAAGTCCTATTGATAAATTTATGCCTTTTGTTTTTATGAATAAATTTATCAATCTCTTTGTTTTTATGAATAAATTTATAGTGATAAATTTATCAGTCTCTTGTTTTTATAGTGATAAATTTATTAGTTAGGACCTGTTGGTAAATAAGTCTAGTTAATAGGATAGATTGATAAATGCCCCAAAAAAATTTTGGTTGCCAATTTCACAACTTTTGACCACCAAATTTTTTTTTAGTTGCCAATTTTAATCGCCAAAGATGCATTTTGTCATAGTGACATGAGTGGTTCATTGGCATGCAAAATTCAACTTGGACATTTAAAGATCATCAACAAGTACATGCAAACATGGAGTTGCACAGAAGATATTGTAGCAATGAATTTCTAGCATATCATTGACATTTAAATGCTCAATTAGAATATGACAATAATTTTTGGTAACATAAAAATGATTACAATTTTCCAGAAGAATGATCAAGAAAACTGACACTATATGTGTGTTTTATTTTATCATTTTTAAACCAAGAAAACATTACTTATTTTATGAAACAATCTGCCAAACAATATATTAAACAAAATCAAATAACACATTGCTAGATCTACTACAATTTAGAAAGAAAAGTTGTTTTAGATTGTCAGTCTAGCAAAATAATAAACAAGATAATTAGTATGAATTATATAATATCAATGACAATAAACAATAATATATATGGACAAAATTAAGTGTAGTGAAGTGTAACTGTGAGACTTTGAGAGTAGCATTATCACTGTCCTAAAACTGTTTTTCCTCCTCTTGCGAAGATACAACAGGAGTGAAATAGTTCCAAGATAAAGTCTATGTTGCTCACAGTGTACCTCATCTAGTGTTCATGACCAATAGGAGGCTTGAACTATGTCACGAACCAAACTTGTCCAAAATACAATATAAAATATATATAACTCTCATAAAATATTTTATCTCTCGAATCATCTTTTCAATCTCTTCTTCTGTCTTGTGCATCTTCCAACTCAAAGAAAACCATATACATGTATAGCACTCTTAGTAACTTATATAATAAAAATTCACTTAACGATAACCATAAATCACCATTTAACATTATATTAAATAAAAAAATAATGAGATATAAAACCTTTTATACTCACAATTTATTAAATTTATTAAAATAATATATTATTTTATTTTTATTGAAAATATTAACATGGACCACATCAGAGCCGAAGGAATAACTTTCCGAATCAACCAATCAAATTTCTTAAACTTAAATCCAGCCCACCAATTAAGCAACCCCTCTCTTGACCTAGGCACCGCCCACTGGACCCCACCAATTCAACAAGTTGGCCCAAACCTTCCAAACTGATGAGCACAGCAACAACACATCATCAACTGAATTACAGAAAATACAATTGATGCTAGCATTCACACTAGCCTGTTTTCAAGCGAGACTAGCATTGATCCTAATTTTCTATAAATAAGAAGCTGTTTAGACCCTCCCATTCCAAGCCAACCACCAAAAAATTGAGTTTCAGAGGAGAAATGTTATACCATAAGAGGGATGTAACATCAGATATACAATGATGCTTATAATGTGGGGAGTGGTTTTGCTACGAAAAATTATTGGTTAGTCTTAAGAGTACTATGTGGTCATACTTATAGCCATCACAAAATCATATCATATGCTCCCTTATATTTTCTAATTACAAAATACAAAATTTTAAATTTTACACTCTCCACCAATCAAAACACACATAGCCATCCAGTACCCTAGGACCAACCGACAACTTCTCTTTTGCTACTGTCATTGAAGCTCCATCTGAACCTTTGTACTTAGAACTGTTTTGGAACCACTTGGTCGACCCCCATCTTCACCCCGGGCATGTTGCCGAGATGTTTTGCACTTAGAGATACTTGTCCTTGGGCAGGTTTGGCCTAGACCGAGGTGTGGCACACCTAGGCCAAGGTGTGGCACAGCTTAGTCAAGTGTCGTCCTCCCTAGCCGATGTCTTAGTTACCCTGTTGCCGAAGCTTTGACTTTAGCCGATGTCATTACTTGCCGATGTGTCTTGCCTTAGCTTGCTGAATACACTTTGTCATAGACTTGTCTTATCAATCAGTCACCTTTTGAGTTAAACCAACCCGGTAGCGCCACGTGTCCGAGCTGAAGGTTAAGTCAGCCGGCAGGCCTGTGAACATATCATTCTTTTATATCATTTTGTTGCAAGTTTTGTTCTTGAAGAGAGAGAAGCTCTAGAAGACAGAGAAGGAGTTTTAGAGTGAGAGAGTAGATCTTCGAGTTGATCTTTGGAGTTTGAGCCGTTAGATTCGAGCTTTGGGGTAAGAATCTTAATCTACTCTGGTTGTTGTTATTGATCGTCTAGCTGCATTGCATAATCGAATTTGTTTTGCATGTCATGCATCGATTTGAAGTTGGTTTCGGAAGAGAAAGATAGTATTCATGTGTTCTTGAAGAAAAGTTTCGTTTTGATCTGAAAGTTTGGAACAAGAACCATGTTTTGTGTTTGTTCTTCCATGACCTTCTTGTATGGGTACCCAGGTCCATGTTTTGAACTCATGGAATGAAATCTCTGATTTTTGTAACAAGTTATGATCTTTGCATTCATCTTCTTCATGACCATGTTCTTCATGTTCTTCAAAGGGAAACCCAGGTTTTCCCGACTTTGCTTTTGAATGAGGCCATCGGGACCACACCTCGGCAAGGAGGTGTAGGACCTCGGCAAAGACCTGGTTGGTACCCAGTGTGTTTTCATGGGACGGAAGCATTCTATACTTCACAATTGATAACGATATACATTTTAGTGCTATATCAAATCAATCTAAACATTTCCGTAATCAACACTTGATACGCATTGTAGTGCTGTATCAATGTCACACACAATCCGGTTTAGAGGTCCATCCCCCATTTGTTTTGAGAATGTGATTGCCATGTGATTGTAGGTCCTTGATCTTTGCTTTGAGCCTACACCCGAGGAGATCTATGTGAGTGGTATTTTTAATAAAGCTATGTTATACTGTTTTGATAAATCTTGCTTTGCTTTGTTTTGACGAAAGTATTTGTTAAGCATGAATGAATAGCTCTGTTTTGATGTATCAAGTATAAGCTTTGTTTTGATGTCATCCTTGAAAAGTCCCTTGTGCTGGAGGACTCTAAACTTTCGCAGCACTAAGTATAAAAGGATACGGTCCTTTCTTGGGAAGACTATCGTGTTAAAGCGGGCTACGGGCCTAAGTAACCCAAGACTATCGTGTTAAAACGGGCTACGGGCCTAAGTAACGCAAGACCATCGTGTTAAAAGGAGCTACGGGCTTAAGTAACACAAGTCCCTTGTGCTGGAGGACTATAAACTTTCATAGTACCTTGACTAATCGATTACGGATCGTGCAGTCCTTGTTTTGCCACTGACGGTTTACCGCGTGGACTGGTTTGTTAGGAAAACTTGATTTGTGTTTTGCCGATGCTAGCGAGCATCCCTTGAGACTTGTAAGACTTGATATATGAATACAGTTCATCTCTTGTTTTGATAAAGTTTTGATGTGTTTCGCTCTGGAAGGATCCCGGCCAATATTCGTATGGTCTTGGCATATTTTGTTTGGAAAAGACTTCGGCTATATTCATGTAAAACCTTTATTTGTAGTACCATTCACTGAGTATCCGAGCTCACCCTCTCTATATATATGTAGGTGATGAGCAGGACGTCGGCGACGCCTAGAATGTGTTTTTGAAAGCTTGTTTTGGATCCATGGTTTCGTCGGCTTTGTTTTGTATTCACATCGGCGACGTCATTTCTTTTATGTCGGCGAATCTTGAAAATCATGCTTCTTGGCTTGTATTCACTGTATTTTCTATATGTCGGCTCGAGAAGCCTTTTGATCAAGATGTAATACGTATTTTACCTTGTTGTATTCAAATTGTAAAGCTTTGTAAAGATGTATGCCATTTCATTGGACTTACGCACTGCTCTTATGGACCACTTGTATTTTGATTTATTGCTTCCACATTTGTGAGCCTTGCATACTATCCTCTGATTGTGTTAAATT